CTTGCATGCACATGAGTTTTTTTTATGAACTAGTGATACAAAATTAAATTTACCAAGCCAGTGAATCTTATAGTAGCCCCAATTGTCAAGAAATGGTAAAAAGCTGATGAGGTCCAGAAGGTCAATTAAAAAAAAATGCTTATTTATCTGCTATTTCTCCCTGAGAGATTTGAAGTTATCTTTTTCTGAGTTAAATTGAGTCAATCAATACTATATGACTTATGGAACCAATGACAAGCTACCAACAGTTTGAATTTCCAATATCAAATGTCAGATATCAAGAGCAACCTGTTCACAGTCAATTCACAGAGAAAAATGACAGAGAAATCTAAAAACAGTGGCGTCTAGTAAATCTAAGTAATGAACTAATTTAAGAAAAATCCATGATCCTTTAAGAGGTTATTCCTTGAACAAGAGAGAGAATAAATTCATTAAATTATTTACAGTAAAACTATTAATTTACTGCCAGTCACAAATGATGTGCTTTAGGATAATCTAGAATCTGGACCCAAGAAATCTTAACTTCTTTGCTGGAAAACTGCTCTACAAGCAACAGGCCAGTCCAGATCAGAAGTCTTCCTAAAGGATATTCTCAGCTCAGTCATTCTCAACTGATATGCCTGCAGCACCCTGGGGTGCTGCAAGATCCCATTAGAGGTGCCATAATACCCAACCCCTGTCTGAGAAGGTAAATGCTGTCTTCCCATCTGGCTCTCTGGGCATTTATGCACATACTTTTCTGTCCTGTGATGTGCCGGAGATCCACCGCATGTGAGCTGAGGTGAACTACGCTGCGCTGCGTGCAGTTGTATAAGCGGCGAAATGCATGTCAGCATGCAGAAAATGGTGGTGGTGCACTTTTGAACTAAAGCACCTCTGGTCTGTTTTAGTGCAAAAGTGCACTGCTGCCATTTTCTCAGTGCTGACGCGCATTTCACCACTTATACAACTGTACGCATCACAGCACTGGGCACTTTTCAAAGTGCTGGGTGCTGCGGCACTTGCATATATAAAAATGCCCTCTCTGTCTGCCCCAGCTGCTTCTGTAGGGACTGCTGCTGCTGCTCCCTTCCTTCACCTTCTCTATCCACAAGCAGTCCCTGTATAATAAATTTAGGCACATTAATTGCACTTGTAGACTTGCCCAGTGATAGTCATGTATGATAGGGCCTAACAAAACAGGATCTAGCCCAGCTATAACCTTTAGATACTACCAGAATACAAAAGTTAAAGAATAATTATAGATAGCAGGAATTAGAGAGAGATTCTTGCTGAGTTCAATAGGCTCTGGATTAAGCTTTAGAACCCGTATTAACTCTCCTTACAGCTCTGTTCTTCAGGGACACTGAAGGTTTGTGGGATTAAAATCCCAGGTTCAAGGCATGAGGTTTCTCAGCAGCTGCACAAGATAGTTACATCATAAGAATAGACAAGAGTTGTTTTTTCTTTAAATAGAGAAAGGAGCTTTCTTCTTTGGAGGATCCATCACCCTTTGCCCCATTGACTGTCTATCATTTCCTTAACATTGTAAGAAAGGACATGTAAATCTTTGTGCACTGAGTGCACATTATTATTTTATTTTTCAGGGTATAGTCTTTCAGGTCATCTAGCAACCAAGTTAATCTTCCCAGTTTGTCCAGTTTTGTTTTTGTGATCACATTTAGCATTGAAAGAAGCTCTTCACATTTCCCACTCAGCCGACCTACATTTATGCTCAAGAGATTCCTGTTGTTGTGAGGTGACTGTTTTCTCTTTCTGCAGAACCCTCCTGCTTCTACAGAAGAAGAAAAGGAGAAGAAGCTTCTCCCAGGAGCCAAGAAACTTCCAGGCCCTGCTGTCAACTTATCAGAGATTCAGAATATAAAGAGTGAGCTGAAATTTGTCCCCAGAGCTGAGCAGTAGTAGAAACAAACAGGTTAGTGAAAGATTTTTTTCTTTCTTATTCCTCCAGGAACTACTGGCTGTTCCAAAGCACATATATGTCAAAGGAAAGCTTTCTGTTGACTTCAATAGGCTCTGAGTCAGCCCTTACATTTGAAAGAAAAAGTATATAAAGTAGAAGTATAAAACTAAGATATAGAATAGAAGCATATTCCATTGGAATCCTACAGCATTTAAAACCCAACATTTTTAGTAGAGCACCTGGGGGTTTGCATATGAATATTTTTGTCATGTTCTAGCCACATGAACAAAAATCCTCTGCTATCCTGAATACTGCAGTCAGCCAAGTTATTTCCTCAGAAACATACATATCCCTGTCTGTACAAAGCATGAGTCAGAGTATACAACTTATATACATGGTCTACAAAGAAATTAATTATAATGCAGGGAAGCTAGGTTAGCAAGTTTTCTTTGCTTCCTTTAGTATAACATTTAACTTTGCTGATTCAAAGATAAACACCTAAGCATATGTGATTAGTGTCACAGCTTTATTAAAGGACAAAATCATTATTTTAACAAAGACTTTAATTTTGAACTAATTTTTCATCCAATTTTGAACAAGCCCTGCAAATCTCTCAAAATCTTCCCCTGTCGTCTTACATTATGAGTTTCAGAGCAATGATAATCTATCTGTATCAAAGGAATTATTGCCTAACTCTCTTCAAAAGCCTGAATCAGTTAGAGATGCATCAGGCAGCAACAATGAGAATTCACTTCTACAGTGAGGGGTAACACAGAATGCCACTACAAATAAAAAAAAATATTTGTGTCACATAGTATCTTTCTGAACAGTACATTTGCCAATTATTTCTATTGAAACAAGTCCTTTGTATCCTGGAAAAAAAGGCAGAAGAGCCCTATGTTAAATAAAATAAAGGCATCTGGAATCTTCTATAAAAACACATACAAAAAGAACAAAGGAATATAAAAATATAATGCGGAAGAATTTTGTAACCACAGAATGGCACAGTACCAGGGGCCTTGAAGGAAATGATGTGCAGAGTGATTTGGTTTGAAAAACATACACAATACCTTTCATTTGTTTTTATGTACAGCATAAATATGTCCACTTTAAAAAATATATTCAGTTCTTTATTGCTTATACCCTGCTGTTTCATAATGTTCTAGTGATTTTAAAGAAACAACAGAGACTCTCTCTTCAGAAAACTTGTGAAAAAGGAAATTAACATTTTGTAAAATGTAATATTATAGTCATCAGACTAAAGCAGTGCCCTGAGAAATATGAATTTTTAATGCAGAACTTTAAAGAGATTTCCCTTCTGCAAGAAAAAATCAGACATAAATTTAACCCCAGATTAATTTCAGATCACTGTTAGTCTCAAGGTTTAGAAATTGTTATCTTATAATTAGTCTAGGGAGGATCGGGCAATGATGTTTGTCATAGGCACTGCAGTTCATTCAAAGACAATACAGTGCTACAAGGGATAGCTACCTAAACAAATAGTCTGTAAAGCTCTCATATCATTAGGCAGCAAAGTGGTTTGGCATTGCAGTTCTTCCTCCTCACTTTCTTCTGATGTGAGAAGTAAGGATTTTTTTGGTAATATCTTTTACTGGACCAATTATATAGTTGGGAGAGATGTTAAATAAGCTTTTAGGCACAAAGTGGCCCTCCTTAGGTCTGGAAAATAAACAGAGACAGCCTATGATGAATACCAGATAAAACAATGGCCTTTATTTAACTCCGTTATGTAAATAAAAATAGTCACCTAAAGAAGTGGAAGAGGACCATAAAAATGTTGAAGATAGAAGTAGTCATAAAACAAGTGAAAGGCAGTTGAACTAGATGACCTAATTATTAAGGCTGTGCAAAATTTCGCCAGCTGTTTCATTTCAATGTTGTTACAACTCATTTCAAGCTTGAAACAGTGAAATCAAAACAAAATGAAGGGCTTCAAAACAGCCTCAAAATGAAACAAGGGCAGTCAAAATGTTTCAAAACATATCGAGTTTCGAAGCTGAAACTGGACTTGCCTGCAGGGAAACAGAAAGAGGGAGGAGGAGGAGGGGAGAAGGACTGCTCTCATATTGACTGTGTAGCTGGCCAGTGACTGTCATCCTTCCCTGAGGTCCCTTCCAATCCCAGTGCTCTGGGGGAGGGATGGAAAAACAGCATAAAAGGCAGCATTGTTTGAACTGGCCTGCTTTCTGCCTTGGGATCAGTTACTGAGCTATCTTCCAGAAGCTCAGGAGCATTAGACAACAAAGGCTACTACCATTGATTTGATTTCATACTTACTAGTCTAGCAAGTGGGATTCCGCAGTACCTTTTGCTTTCTTTCTAGACCCTTTTATTTTATTATTATATTAATTGATTTATTCTTTTCAATTTCATAATTATATTGCATATTATGCTATAGAATTTATATAGGAAGGCGCATATACATTTATATATTTGTATAAAGACAAGACACTATGAAACACAACATGAAGCGTACTGGAAAGGCAGCTGGCAAGCCTTCAGGGAGGGGCAGAAGAGCGGGTAGAGGGAGAGGTGTAAGTTCCCTGCCCTCCAAACTGAGCCTCTTTGCTACAAGTAGGCATGAGGCTTCCACTAGTACAGGCAGCAAGGAGAGGGGGGCAATGCCAGTGCCATTGCCTGTGCTTGAGTCTGCATCCCCTCCAAGAGCACCAGCCATAGTTCCCCGCTCTCTACGACAACAAGCAGCACCAGCAGCAGCAGCAGCAGCATGACAGTCTCCTCCACCCCCATTTCAATTCCCATGCTGAGCCTTCCAGTGCCAGAGGAAGAGCTGGATCTGGATCTGCATCTCAGTGCCCTAGCAAGGGAAATTCTAGGTAAGGAGGGGGAATCAGCTGAGTTTGTGCTCCACACCCAAGTTTCATCTAGAGCCAGGTCTCGTTCCGCAGAAGGCACTTCAGAGGAGGCTGAGGTAGAGGTTGCAGAGGCAAGCAGCTCACCTGAGTCCGCTCCTCCTGTTGCTGTGCCTTTGCCTGCTGAGGAGGGGGGAATTGCATCCACACATGCACCCTCACCTGAGAAGCAAGTGGGTAGTGTTGTCTGGGATCACTCTGAGCTGGCAGAGTGATCTGCCTGCACTGCCAAGCCAAAACCAGCCGGGGCAAGGGTACAAAACACATGAGCACCACGGGGATGCTGAGGCAGCTCTGCAAGTACCATCCCCTGCCCTTGCTCCTCCTCAGCCTGGCACCAGCAGGAACATGCCCAAAGGGAAATCTCCCTCTCATCCAAAGTCCCCATCCCCCCAAAGCAGAGGCAGGCCACCCTGAAACAGTGGAGGAAAGGCAGAAGAAGGGGGGTGTGTTGCAAGGGAGAGTGAGATCACTCAGAGCACTGGAGAGATGCTTGCTGTGGATGGCCAGCCCTTCTCCTTAGTTAAGCGCTCATGGCCCCATCATACTAAGTGCCCTCATGTACCACCTTCAGCAAGATGGTGGTGCCCTCCCTGTATGAGGCATGCAGGGAATGCTTGAGGGAGGAGCTGCACAAGGCAGGTCCTCAGGTGGCCTTACACTTCACCTCAAACATCTGAAATAGCTGGGTTGGAGATTAAACCTACCTCTCCATCACAGGGTATTGGTGTGACCAGTCAGGCCATCAGTGGGCTCTCCTTCAAGCCAAGGTGGTGGATGAGTCCTACACAGCAATAGAGAACATGGAGGCCATGAACGACTTGGTGCAGGGGTGGCTCATTGGGTAGGGCAAGTTCACCTGTGGGTTCATGGTCACTAACAATAGGACCAATATAGTCAAGGTCATCCATGATACCAACTTTGTTGGCATCTGCTGTGTGGCATACAAGTTGCACCTCATTGTCAGGGACGCCTTGGAGGGGGACAGAGTTGCCGGTGACAATCCCAGCACCACCAGCAAGCTCACTTCAAAATGCAGGAAGATGGCAGGCTACTTCCACGGGAGCATCAAGGAGGGCAAGATGCTGTGGGACAAAGAAGGAGAGCTGAACATCCTGCAGCACAAAATCATGCAGGATGTGGAGACTTAGTGGCACTCCACATACCTGATGCTCAACAGGCTCGTGGAGCAACAGAAGGCCATCCATGAGATGGCCTTGCTTTGGGAGATTAGAATCAACAGCCCCCTTAACAGAGCTGAGTGGGGTACCATCTCCCAGATCTTGGTGGTCCTCAAGCCCTTCCTTGAGGCCACCAAGACCCACAGTGCTGGCAATGCCCTCCTTAGCCAGGTGGTCCCTGTAGCGAGGGAACTTCAGAGCCAAATGGAGAGCTTCCAGGGGATTAATGTTCCTGGCTGGGGCAAGCCGCTGTCACCAGATGTGCAGGCACTGGTGAGATGGCTGAAGGAGGGCATCAGGAAACGGCTTGATCCCTTGTGTTCTGGTGCGGTCCACGTGCTGGCTGCCATGTGTGACCCGAGGGTGAAAGGCAGCATATGCAACAGCCAAATCCTGAATCAGTGTACAGAGGTACTGGTGAAGAGAGTTAGGGAGGCAGCGCAGTGGAGTTGAGGAGACGTGGAGAGGGGGATCCACTGTCCCATGCTAGCATGCCATCCACCAGCCAGTCTCCTCTTCCATCACAGGCACTGCCAATGTGGATCAAGGGTATGGCTTCCACGGTGAGGTCCAAAGGCACCAGACCCCACCATCAGGCAGGTAGCACTCAGGTCTTGGTGGCTGCCTATCTTGCTGAGGACACGGAGCCACTGCTGTATGACCCATTGGCCTATTGGGCAAGCTGCAGCCAGATGTGGCCGGATCTGGCTACGGTTGCCCAGAAACACCTGTCCTGTCCACTGACCAGTGTTCCAAGTGGCAGGGTGTTCAGCATTGCTGGGGATGTAGTGACACCCCACTGTACCTGCTTGGATCCTAGTTTGGTGGAGCACCTAGTGTTCCTCATGGTGAACCTCCTGCTGCTGGGGTTCCTCAAGCTCCACCTGCAGACTCTGTCCATACCTATTTCCTTTTTTCATTTTTTTAAAAACATTTA